AGCCTGTGGCCTCGGCCTGGTCACCGCATCCCGGGAGCACAGTTCCCTCCCTGCCCTCGAGGTGCCTGGACTTCCCACGTACGCAGCTGAGGCTGGGATGGTTTGGATTTGGCCTCGGGAGCATTTTGGTAGTTTGCCGTTTTCTGACTTTGGGTCGTGTTTCCGTTATTCTACGTTTGCACATTATAGACATCTCAGACAGAAGAGGGGGGTAGAGACCCAGGGAGGCGCAGAAACTTCAAGTGAAACCGTGGCATTTTATGTGTCAAGCCTGGTCACTGTTCAGAGACGGGTGGATTATTATCTTCACTTACATTTTCATCAAGTAAATTACGGAATGGCCTCCAGGTAGTCTAGAGGCATTGAGGCCCAGTTCCCTGGGTAGGCACCATCAGGAATGAAGCGAGGCCTGCTGTGCTGTTTCGGATCGTGGGGATAACCGTAACCGGTGGACAGCTGGTGAGGAGGCTTTTGCTGGAGAACCAGATGTCTGTAGTTGAGCTCCCCACGAGCAGATCGCAGCCCCCACTGAGTGAGGAAGGATGGGCTTCTTTGCAGCCTGCTTTGGCTGGGAGGATTGTGGCTCTTCCTGAACTGCTGCTCTCCCGACTCCTCGGTGAGCCGCTGTGGGAGGTAGTGGGAGGGAAAACTGCAAGGCTGGTGATGAACATTTGATCAATCAGTGGTCCCTGTAGCACTTTTTTGGGTCAGCTTGGGGTCTGCGCATTTGTGTCCCATCTGTAGATGAATGCTCCCTCAGTGCTTGAAGGATAAGGGCACCTTCCTGCTTCCTCATCCCATCTCAGGGCTTTGAAAGGAAATAGACCTGTTGTGCAACCAAGAGATATGTTATACGTCATGACTCCAAGCTTATTTACTGTCTAGGAGTAAGGAGGCAGTGTGTTGGTTTCTTAGTAAAGGTATAGGAAGAATTTCTGTGGCCTAATTGCGGTGGCCTGGAATTGGCTGCCACCCACTTCTGGGTGCTGAGATCGCCAACTGCCCACTGAGCACACCTTCTCTGTTTGGGCTCTACCTGCAGCTGCAGAGAAAACAACAGACCTAAGTGCAAGTATAGCTTCTGCCGGCAAAGAACGGAGAGAAAGAACTAGGCTGTAGAATGTGGCAGGAATTAATTGCATATGGAGTTACCACCTATTAGGGGTTTTGTTATGGTTATGATCCCGAAAAGACCTCATAAAGGAAGTGACTTTTGAGGTGGGCCTTGAAGGATCAGCGGATCTGGGTCATTCAGAATTAGCTGGAAAATGAAAAAGGTAGGGCTAGTTGGTGCAACAGCACCCAGATTAGTTAGCCGGGCAGTAGGTGTCTAGAAATACTGACAGAGGCAACTGTTTAAGGCAGGGGTCCTCAAACTACGGCCCGCGGGCCACATGCGGCCCGCCGAAAACATTTGTTTTTTTACTTCAAAATAAGATATGTGCAGTGTGCATAGGAATTTTTTCATAGTTTTTTTTTTAAACTATAGTCCGGCCCTCCAACGGTCTGAGGGACAGTGAACTGGCCCCCTGTTTAAAAAGTTTGAGGACCCCTGGTTTAAGGGTTAAATGCTTTTCTAAGATAAAGAAGCATCTGGCTTTTGGTAGATTTCTGGGTTCTGAGGAATTGTTTTCATTTGATGAGTTTCTCTTGTTCTTTTAGCCAGCCAATTACATAAATCACTGCCTAACTTATTTTAAGGACAATAAAAAAGATGTTGATTGTAATTGCTGTTTGGTATTAACAATCAGGAAATTAAATTTGCTGTCTGTGAGGTATTTCAGTGCCAGTGTTTAGTTTTAAGGAGCACAGCTCTGCCACTGTGGCTACAGCCAAGGGCAATATGACAAGCTCCTTAGCCATTTTCCGAGTGTTTTTAATGACATCTAATTCACAGAGTTGCTATTTGTTTCTCTTACCAACATTGTTGAAGAAACCTTTGAAGACATTGAAACAGGATGCCTTGCAATTGCTCTGGAACATCATGACTAGTCTCAGGACCTCACTGGCTTCCACCTTAGCCTTTTGTTTTCTTGAGATATAATTGACATACAACATTATATTAGTTTCAGGTGTACATCATAATGGTTCAATATTGTATATATTGCACAGTGATCACCACAATTAACATCTGTCACCATACATAGTTAACAGAATTTTTTCTTGTAAGGCAAACTCCCCTAGCAACTTTCAAATATGCAATATCGTATTATTAACTATATTCACCAGGCTGTACATTACATCCCTGTGACTTATTTTATAACTGGAAGTTGGTACCTTTTGATTCCTTTCACCCATTTCGGCACCCCTGCCCCCCACCTCTGGCTACCACCAATATATTCTCTGTATCTAAGAGCTTGTTTTGCTTTGGGGGAGGAGTTTTGTTTTAGTTTTTAGATTCCACATATAAGTTAGATATGGTATTTGTCATTGTCTGACTTTTTTTCAATTGGAATAATCCCATCAAGGGCCATTTTTGTTGTTGCAAATGACAAGATTTCATTCTTTTTTATGGCTGAATTGTGTATATATACACCACATCCTTAGCCTTTCTTTAAACAAGCTCAACACTGCACCATCTTAACTTTTTAATGCTTCTTTTTGACTGTTTACTCCTAACCCACTTCTTTATCTCCTGACAGCATGACAATCTAGGGATGCTAGATCTTTGGGATGTTTTTGTCAAGGTTAGCATGCCACAGAATTCCATTGCCATGTAAGAGGGTTTTTACATTTTTAATTTCTTTTTTTTTACGATGACGTTCCAATTAAAATGAAAAGAAAAGAAAAGAAAATGGAGGAAAGATAAAGTTTTTAGCAAATTGAATTTCCACTTAGGATTTATTTTGATAAGCATAGAAATTCTTAAATGTTCTTTCCCAGATACATACTGAATAAATTTGACAAGAATTGTGTAGCTCACTCACTGTGTACTAGGTGTACTGGTTAATAATGTCAGATTTTGTAATCAAAGAAAACACAATAATTTCAAGAGAAACATCAAAAGTGCTTTATTCAAAGTAATGTCCATCGCTAGCTACACATTTCCCCCATCTTTCAGGTAATTTGTGGATAC